TGAATTAAGACTAGCATGAGGTGTGATTGATGCATTGGATGCATATCACAATCATGGGTACTCGTTGTGAATGAGTGACTGGTTGACCCGCATGAGATTGTCATATGGACAGAGTCATGACTTGAATCTCATACAGCGGTTCGTTTATGGATCCTCATACCTGAGATGTCTAGAGTATCTGATATGAGGAATGACGTGTCTTGACTGCGTCAAACGTCGTCTTTAACCGGATGATTATAACGGCGTTGATCAGATACGTTCACGAATTATCCTACAAGCATCTAATCCCCATACCCTTAACATGACCATCATGTTTTGATGAAGGGAGAGGCTTCGTCAATGGGTCGGCAGTATTATCATCTGTCGACACTCTGCTTATCTTCACGTCTCCTCTGTCGATGATTTCTCTGATCAAGTGAAATCGCCTTAGTATGTGTTTGGATCTCTGGTGTGACCGGGGTTCCTTAGCTTGCGCAATCGCACCATTGTTGTCACAGTACAACTCAATGGGATCTGCAATGCTAGGAATAACGCCCTGGTCTCCCACGAATTTCCTGATCCAAACAGCTTCCTTAGCTGCATCCGATGCTGCTATGTACTCGGCTTCTGTAGTCGAATCTGCCACGGTTGGCTGTTTGGAACTCTTCCAACTAATAGCCCCACCGTTTAGGCAGAAAACGTAACCTGACTGCGATCTGAAGTCATCTCTGTTGGTTTGGAAACTAGCATCGGTATAACCACTTATAGCGAGCTCGTCTTCCAATCCGCCATACACCAAGAACAAATCCTTAGTCCTTCTCAAGTACTTAAGGATGTTCTTGACCGCAATCCAGTGAGCCTCACCTGGTGTAGACTGATATCTACTAGTCATACTCAATGCATATGATACATCCGGACGAGTACACAACATGCCGTACATGATGGATCCAATTGCTGATGCATATGGTATCCTACTCATGCGCTCTTGCTCATCCTGTGTCTTTGGACACTGAGTCTTGCTAAGAGCTACGTCATGTCCCATTGGCAAGGCACCCCTCTTGGAGTCTTGCATCTTGAACCGATTCAAGACCTTGTCAATGTATGTACTCTGACTTAGACCAAGAAGCCTTCTCGATCTATCTCTATAGATCTTGATTCCTAGAATATAGGCGGCTTCTCCTAAGTCCTTCATCGAAAAGACTGATCCTAGCCAGGATTTTACTCCTTGCAAGGTAGGAATGTCATTTCCGATGAGCAATATATCATCCACATAAAGTACAAGGAAGACCACTGCGCTCTCACTGACCTTCTTGTAAACGCATGGCTCATCTTCGTTTTGCAGGAAGCCAAACGTTTTGACTGCCTCGTCAAATCGAAGATTCCAGCTCCTCGAAGCCTGCTTCAGTCCATAAATGGATCTCTGAAGCTTGCACACCTTCCTCGGACTCTTAGGATCAACAAAACCCTCGGGTTGTGTCATATACACATCTTCGAGCAAATTCCCGTTAAGGAATGCGGTCTTGACGTCCATCTGCCATATCTCGTAGTCATAATACGCAGCTATGGCCAGCAGAATCCGTATGGATTTAAGCATCACGACTGGTGAAAAGGTTTCATCATAGTCTATACCATGAATCTGCCGAAACCCTTTCGCGACGAGTCGTGCCTTATAGGTATGCACGATGCCATCCATGTCGTTTTTCTTCTTGAAAACCTACTTGCATC